CATATTCATATTCAAATAGGCTATACCTTTTAATTTTACTTGTAGTTTTAAGGTCCTCTGCGTCAGTGCTAGCAGTCATAATTCCATAACTGTTATAACTGAAGGCGGTTTTTACTTGGCATATTATTGTGAAATGAACACGTCTCATCCATGCCAAATCTACAAAATTAGAATGTCTTCGTTTTAAAATATTCCCTTTTATGATAAAACTGTTAAGGAAACGTCGGATTGCAACTGGTGCTGTGTTGTATGAGCCATACAGTAATTGGCCTGATCACTGGGCGCGACGGCGGGCGACTGGACATGCGCAGATTGGGCTGGGTCTACACGAGCAAGACGTGTTACACACAGACAAACTTCTACACAACTGGAATGTTGACACTTCATAGTTAGATTTGCCTCTGGTACACACAAAGACAAAATATAAAACTCGAGTGAATCCATCAACAGTACTTACTGCCTTTTAACTGCTGTACTAGCTAATTCAAACAAATAATGCTTTTGATGTTCACCTTAAAAACAATAACAGTTTTAAATGTAACAAAAGTGGTACTTACGTATATCGACCACAAACCTAACCTAAGGGTGGCTATATAGGTTATGAAGATTTTGTTATTTTAACTTCTGTAATTAAAATCTTAAAATTTGGAAGTCGATTTATGGGTGTGGTCGGTATAAAACGTAAGTACCAAAAAGGTTTTATGACCGTCGGTAACTCTGTGGCTCGGAGCCTGGGAGTGTTACGGACTACTTAGTAAACAAATTTGTTGTGCTTAATAAATATTTTTATAATGTTATTTTTGATATTTAAAACAGGGTTAAGCTCAGCAGTAAGTTATTAAAGTACAGGCAACAAGAACAACAACATCACAAGTTACAAGAACTGTTATGCTTGCGTTTAGGTTTAATTTCTCAATTTATTAACAGTTTATTCGATTATTTTTTAACATGAAAATTATTACTTACTTTTATGTTTAGAAGTTAAGACGTCATCTTTTACCCAGTATAGTGAGTGACAACGTAGGCAAATGAAATCATCTAGACTTCATTTTAAATCGTCATTATGACTCAGGGTTATATCAGCGAAATTATCAGGTCGCCTTCTTCAACCCAAGACCAAGACTGACTAGCGATAAAATATCCTACCAAACATCTAAACAAAATCAATTCAGTACCAGTCTCGATATTTGAAAGATTCGTCTAGTTATTTTGAGCCTGGCCACAACTTAAATGGGTCACGGGTTCGTTTTTATTTTTAAACTTAGATCTTTAATCTCGGTGTGATGTCTGTGTCACAAGTAATCACGTTTTCTAATCTTTTTAACGCGCTATTTGGTTGGTTTAAGAAATTTGACTGGATACGAGAAAGTTGTTTTTATGTTTGTCAATCTGTCACTATTCCGTGTTTTTGTTTGACCAGATTAGTTGCGAAATGTTATCTGTGTAGTGTTATCTAATCGCAGCTTATCTAGTTAGGAAGTGATAAATAGGTTTTGGTCCAATGTGTTATACTGTATTAAACAAGCCCAGTAGGCCCTATATTGGAACTCGCCTGTGAGACACAGCATCAGAAGTCAATCTGGTTTCACTGGACAAGAATTTCAATAGGTTATTAGCCTTTATTGATCTGCAGAAGATAATAATGTGGTAATTCAAATATACTGTAAAACACCATTGGATTATAGAGGCAAAATCAATCGTACTTGTTACTAATTTTAATTAAGATCTCGTTTGGCTCATGTAATTATTGTCTGTCAGAATCAAAACTAATAACGATACCGTAATAAAAACTTATAATATATTTATAATAGACGAGTCAAAATATTAGCTCAGGAAAAATGTAAACAAACAAAATTGTTAAGGCAATAGATGTAACAGTTAACGCATATTTAATATTTTAAATGTTATTAAATAAACCCGTTAACTTCGTTGGGAGAGAGTTAAAAAGCCGATATCGGGGGTAGTTCCTCATGAAGACCTTCATAGGTTTGCGGCTTCCAGTTTTCTCAAAAGTTGGCGATTCCTATTATCTTTATAAACACGGGCTTATCTATCTGTTACATTAATGCAGTTTGGGCTATTCCCACAAACATCAGCTCTGTAGTCAATCAGACACAGGCAAGATGCACACCTGCTGCCTAGACTACTCGGTCTGTCGGTCTGTCCTGTCTCTGTCTCTACACTCTCTCACTCACTCAACTGCAAAAGAGAGGGAGAGAGGACCTAGGGTGAATGACTCATCGTCAACGTGGGGGGAGGCTCTCTCTCTCTCTCTCCCTCTCTCCGTCACTCCCCATCTCACGCTGCTGACGTCATCGCCCTTGCAGATTTTCTTTCATGGCTCTCTTCTCCCCCTCTACTTCGCCGAACTCGAGATTACGCATGGAATCTTAATCTTAGTCTTAAATAAAGTAGCCTATGACAGGTTCTGTGGTAGATTTGGTTTCTTTTATTTCTGTTCCAATAGGGTTAGTTTTCAACATTCAATCTTACCTTTTACTCCTTCGTTTTGATTGTCCCCAGAGGCCAAAAACACTACTTCAAATGTTCAAATACATCTTGCCTGTCTGCACAAAGCAAAAATGGTCTGATTTTGGTGGAATTTGGTACTCGCGTGTAAACTTACATTTTATTAGAATGAGCATGGAAAAGGGTTTCTTGAAGTAAACAAATTCCCGTTTTTACCCTCAAACATAAAATTTCACAATTTCTCTCCAAACCATTTTATCGAACTTATAAACAAGTAATTTTACCTTAACTATATAAGTTACGCCTAAGAGTTATATTGAACAAAATCCCATGTTATTGTTATGGAGAATAAGTAGACTGCGACGGGCATATTTTGGTCAAATTTATTTGTTTTATACTCATCTATAAACATATCCCTGAATACCTTCCCTGTTGCAGCAATCCTAAGTGCTTATTGGATCTATGTTTAACCTAATATTAATATAGGGAATAATTTGTATCCATATATAAAATCCCAAAAGTACCCATGCATTTTTGAGAAAACTAAAAGTCATACCCCCATAAACCGTATACTTAAAATGTTCGTCATGAAGAGAAGACTTGCGCAAAACTATCCATTATTTCATAAATTGTATTTCCTTTCTAAAGGGAACTTTCCATATACCTAAAAAATGTTTAAAATACCTCAGGTGTGATTATTTGTTTGTATTACTGTATTCTGTTTTGTTTATTTCAGCTTAACTTAATCAATCAATAATCCTACTTATGAATGTCAAACAGGGTGAAGCCCTTGGGTAACAGCTAGTATGTTTGAGGATTTTTTTATTTAAAAAAAAATCTGTGTTTGTATTTATACTTCTTGTTAATAACCTTACAAATCTCTCTACAATTAATGTTCATTTATTAGATTATCGTAGGTCCAATGTGTCAATTTGTGTATGTTATGAGTATCTGTTTGCAGACTGTGTAGATTGTTAAGTCTAAACCATCAGCTGTCGCTGTCCTGCGTTTGTTGGCCAACTTCCATTACTGCTTGTGACACAATTTGAGTTAATTTTAAATTTGGCACTTTCTATCCACCGATGCGTGTTGTTATGATGTAGTCTATTAATCCCTGATGCTTTTTATCAGGGGGTCGGGCAAGTTAAGTTGACTGTATTTATAGTCTAGTGGTGCTTAATTTAAGTCAGTTAAAGTAATAATCACTTTGGATTGTCATAGTAAAGTCTAAACAAATGTTTGTCACAAAACATTATTTCAGAGGGTTTCTTGGTTTTTTAGCAAAAGTACATCTTTTTAAAATCAAGAATATAGCTACGTTTAAACACGATCTTGAATAATAAATTCGTTTTCTTCAGTACCGGTAGTTTATTAATATTAAACATGGTGATTTATGACGGTTAAAGACTAAAGACATTTTTATTATTAGCCTACCATGATTTTTAGCTTTACAATTTGTAAAATCTGCGGCGTACGTCGTGCATATTTGGCTACCCAAGTAAGGATGTCAATATTGCACTCCTTATGCATAATAATTAATAATAATTAAAATCTTAATTCATTTAAACCAATTCAAATACTCAAATTTTCCAGTTTCACATTTTGCCAAAGCCTACATAACTTCTAAATGTTTTCTCTAGGAAGTTGCAAGAATGTGAAAATTGTGACCACAGCAAACGTCTTAGGAAGAACACCAAAAAATTGTCTTAATAAAGGATATTAATGGTGGTTCCTTCAATTTTTGTTCCATCAACAAAGTCTTCCACTACTGTAATTGCTTTCTGTTTTAACAATGTGAGTTGTCATATTCCCCATATAAGGCAATAGTGACTAGGAGTGTAAGGTGTGAGTCAACTGATATGTTATCATTGCCTCAGCCACACCAATCTAACCCTACTAGGTGTTAGTATCAAACTGTTATGGCTTTGGGCGAAGGCGTGAGTAGACAATTTTTGTAATACTTTTTATATGTATAGAATTTTTCTGCCAATAGTTTCTGTAGCATAACAATTAGGCCTAATTGATGAGAGGTTAATCAATTTTTTCACATTTTCGGTTATATAATCTCATCATTTGTATCAGAAAACCTATTTTTTAGATTCATTCTCAGATCAGATGTTGTAACGTGTTTGAATTTGTTTTTATCTATAAGTATTTTCAATCTTGTTGGATATAGGTTTAAAATAAGTAACTACAATATAATCTTTAAGCCTGGTCGTTCAGGTTTAAACATGCCAAAGTTCTTATGCCTCTAATGCATGGTTCAGACCTCACCTCAAATGTATGTCCACCAATTAAGAAAACAAAAGCTTTGCTAGGAAACTCCTTAAATTAAAAGCTGTACAATGTACAAACTAAGTGAGAACTGAGAAAAAACATTTGACAACTTAATGACAAAACTTATGACTACAGGATTCTATATTTTGTAAAAACCGTAATTTCCTACTTAATTCACAATTCCTTTTGTCTGACTACATTTTTTGCAATATCATTTATATTGTATTTGGATAACCAGTCAATTTGTTTTCTAGGCTTCCGGTGTGACGGTATCGGATGTGTGTAAAACAACATATGAAGAGATCAAAAAGGATAAAAAACATCGATATGTAGTATTTTTTATCAAGGATGAGAAACAAATTGACGTTGAATACATAGGTGAGTAAATGTTCAGGTATTCTAGAGCATTACACTGAAAAGTTACTTTTACAGTTTTTAGAGTCCCTCCCTAAAAAGTCTGGGCGGACAGCTCTAACACAACTAGTTAAATCTTGTGAAATAATGTCTTGCTCATGAAACAGGGAAATGATAAGGTCTATATTAATTAGAGTGATCTCTGTTAAAAATGCAAAAGAACATCTGCTCTGTGTAAATTTGAAAACTTTGGTAGTTCAGACTGCAAAATTAATCTAGGTTGACTTTCTACCATAACCGGACAAAATAATAGCAGCTAGCTTACCTTAAGTACAGGTAGGTTATAGGTTGTACAGAAGACATAATAACACATTTGGCCACTGGGGAACCTTCTCAAGAAAGCTATCTGCCACCCAAATCAAAATGCCAGCTTCATTGTACAAATCAAAATCCTGGTTTAGGACCTTTCTAGAATAAAGCTCGCCTTAAAAGCCTAACCTCTCACTTTCCCTCTTCCTTGTCATACTTTGTGTTATCTTTATCTTGTTATGCACCTTTCCAACCTCTCTATCCATCTTTTCACAATGAACCTAAGCTATTTCTGGTTTAGAGGTTCACTAAACAGAAAAATTAAACTGTGGTGTTTTGTGTAGTATTGTGAGTGATGTGTGCAGGTGATCGCAATGCGCAATACGACCAATTCCTGGAGGATCTGCAGAAGGCAGGGACTGGTGAATGTCGGTACGGACTGTTTGACTTTGAGTACACACACCAGTGCCAAGGCACATCTGAGGTGAGTAGAGATGGTGGAATGGAATACTATTACTTTTAGCGAATTTCCCTATAGGGAAGTAGCTATTACCGTAGGTGGCACGGTAAGACCTAGACCCGGGACCGATTTACTTTTTCATTTTGATGTCCCCAGAGGCCAAAAACACCATTCGTTCAAATTTTTATATATGTATATATATATAGACTTATATATATATATATATATAGATATATATATATATACGTCTGTGAACGCGATAACTTGAGTAATTTTTGTCCGATTTTGATTAAATTTGGTTTAAAGGTGTAAAGCGGGATAAACTTGAATGAGTTCGCGAACCAGCACGATCGGACCATGGGAACGGGGCTTTACGGGGGGTTTTATGGGGTAAAAATTGGTTTTTCTCACTTTTGACCCTCAAAACACAAAATTTCCCGATTTCTCTTTAGACCTTTTTAAAGAGCTTAAAAAAACAAATTTTTTAGTATATAAAAGTATGTTTGTTCGATTATTAGTAACGGAGAAAATTAAAAAAATTGTAAATTTAAAATTGCCATGTTATTCTTATGGAGAATATAGTCAAATGTTGTAGTTTGCTTGTTTATGGATATATTTTGATCAAACTTGGCAAATTTATTTATTTTGTACTAAGCTATCAATATTTTACTCAAAAACACACTTTATTAGTTTCCTTGTAGCAGCAAACCTAGGTACTCGTTAAACCTAATGTTATTAAAATATATTTAACTGAAAATCAATTCAGACAAATGGAAATTCGCTTAGTCGGCAGGTTTGCTGCGGCGGGGGTATTTAATAATATTGAGTAACGTTCCTTAGATTTTCAGTTACCAGTGAATTAAAACTAGTTTTTTTTCTCACCTATCACTTCCTCCTACCGTACATTTCAGCCGGTTGTTCTAATGTAGGGTTAATTTTAGCAAATTTCCCTGTAGCTATTTTTTTATATATTTTACGCCCCATTATTCTGATCGTCCAGCGTTATTTCACTCTCACGTTCCAACAGCTCAGAACATGATCTAATCTTGTTATGTTTTAGGAAATGTCTCCTCTGAGGACGGGATCAGGTTTCAGATCACGTTATAAAAACCTTGCTTATAGTGATGAAGAAATGTCCGCAATACTTTCTTAAATTACATTAACACACCATCACCAAAAACTAACAACTAACTCTAAACAAAGAATTGACGATTTTTTCTGAACATTATAAAGGGTGGGGCAGGGAAGTATCCCTATTTAATGATGGAACTGTGAAACGAGACCGTTCATGGAGGACCACAACCCCCCACCACCGCGCCCGGGACATCAGAATTGGTATCGGAACTTTTTATCACTGTCGTCTTCTGTCAAAACATCAACGTCCTTGTTTACATTATGATCAGCTGGATAATTCAACTGCTGTTAGTATTTCATTTTTGCAATTCAATGTAAAGATTTACTGATTTCATGGAAATTAAATATTTACTATTTAAATTTGGGTTTGCTTACATATTACAAAAGAAAAAATCGAGAAAGCCTACACAATTTGATATATTTCACCAACAAATGAGAAAAATGAATAGACACAGTGCTGTTGTATTTCTTGAGCAATCCTTGAAAGAACCGATTTTCAAACTATGGAAACATAGAAAAGCCATAGAACACCACCAATTATAAGAATTGGGGATAGGTTTTAGGTTATTAGGTTTATTTTAGGTTATTAGCCTATAGTAAAGGAATGTCCCCAAGATGATTCCTATACAAAAAAAACGGTGAAGAGAATGTTAGCCGAAAAGAAACAGCAGGAAAACTCTACTGTATTATAATGATTGCAGCGGTAACTCCTCTTAGGCTAAGTAAAATTTGTACAACAAGGACATTAAAAATATGTATTCTTTTGATCAATGTCAAGTGGTTTTAGAATTACTACACCACTACACCCAAAAGAACTTTTCCTTTTTTTTTATAAAACTTTCATTTATAATTCACAGTTAAGGGAAACAAAAATAATCTGAACAACACCAGACCTTTTAACTCTACATTTTCTCAGGTAAATACAATTGACGTTATTACAACAACTAATTGTGGCAGTCAGGTTATGCAGGAATGAGGAATTCAGGTAGTTCTTTAGTAATAATGTGAACTAATTATACTGTTATTTAAGTAAAAAAAGTAAAATAATTATTTGTAAGATACACTGGCAGCAATGACGAATATAATCATGAACAATCTCATTCGGCTGAGTGGAAAGTATTTGTAGAAAACACTAAATAATAGCCTTTGAAAAATGATAAAATAGTGGGTATTTCCATTAGTTACATAATCTTTGAGTTAACGCTTAACTCATCGGAAATTGTGACTGTTATTAGTTTTTAAATAACTCCTGAAAAAATACTTTGGTTTAATGAGCAACTATAGTTTAACATTAAACAAACTACTTTGTTCCTATCGAATCGACTATTAGTTCTAATGAGGACTGAGGAGGCTTGGGATTTGAAGAAGAAGAAGCCGCACCGATGTACTGTTCCGATTCCAATTCCGCTGTCCCACGGTGCGGTGGTGGGGGGTTGTGGTCCTCCATGAACGGTCTCGTAACTGTGAATAGTGGGGATGCGCTGGAGAAGTGGGGATTTTCCAATAATGTCACTGTCAGTAGTAGACATGGCTTGGTCAGCAAGCCACTGCTGCATAGCAGTGCTGTTGGATGTTAGTTCTGCTGGATGGCATTGCAGCCTATTCTTTCTTAGGTAACAGTAAGAATGAAATTAATTTTTAGGTAACATCGGTCTTATAGAAACAATTACAACGACTTTGCCGCAAAACAGTTTAACACAACTGCCTCTGCCTGTTTTACACAGCCGTTTAGTTGGATAACGCACACGTTTGGCCAGCCCACAACCGAACTGAACAGTTGTTGACTAGAGCGTTGTGTTTAGCAGTCGCGCAGATGTGAACAATGACAATTCCCTGAAACAGTTGTCTACAACTGCCAGTTCTCGACAACCATTTAGCTGTGCAACGTCTGCAGCGCCACAACCATTGGGTTGTTTTCGTCCCACCCCTAATTTGGAGGTCAAAGAACCTTTCGAACTCCTGAAAACATTAACCCCATCAGAAGAAGACCTACACCTCTATCTACACAAAAATGGTAGTTGCTCATGAACTCACACAACAGGACTGGCAACAACGAATACAGGCATATGAAATTTTAATTGCAGGCCTGTCTCATAATGCTCGGGTTTAAGACACACTTCCATATTTCTGGAGTGGTAAGTAAGCCAATAGAGCATATTGAGCTCTATTGGCGTGATGCTAAGCCTAGGGTAGTTCACAAGAGAATCCTAGATGCCTTGAAGGATGCAATTCACCTAGAAGTTGGCCGCATTCCACAACAAATTCATCACGGAGTTATGATAACAGGAGGGTATTGACAATGAGGGACACCACGTGCAGGATATCCTTTTAATCCCCGTATAAAGTTTGGTTCTAATATTTTTGGTAGTCTTTTAATATACCTTCAACATTAGGGATAACTCCCTGCCCCAACCTGTATTAACATTTCAGGCCAAGCAGGGTCAACTGCGTCATGCTGGGAATTCCCTATACTAATTAATTTTCAAATTTATTCAGTTTTCTATAGTTTCGGTTTAAAGGGGTTTTACAAATGCCCAATCTGGTTAAGTTGATTAATGCTTAGTAGTAAATTATTATTACATTTTTGCTTAAGATAGTTTTACTATTATTTTTCGATCCGATCCAACATTCCCCCAAATCTACGAGTGATAGACAATAGACAATTTAAACTATAGTTGATAGGAGGAACTATGCTGACCTTCTTTGCATTCAACAGGCGTCCAAGAAACAGAAGCTTTTCCTGATGTCCTGGTGCCCCGACACTGCCAAAGTCAAGAAGAAGATGTTGTACTCCTCCTCTTTTGATGCCCTCAAGAAGTCCTTGGTTGGTGTTCAGAAGTACATCCAGGTGTGTTCACATTGTTTTATGTAATGAGTTCTTTTTTGTCTTGTATTACTTTTGGAGGAATGAATGTTGGTTCCTTTATGTGAAGAGGTGCTTCCGTGTCGAAAGATAACAGTAGACTCCTGATTTTCAATTTTGTATTTTTGTTATGAAAAAAAAGAGGTTGGCGACCTCTTTTAACCTTGCATTTGCCGGTCCACATATACTAACTGCTCGTGGGTGGAACGTATCCAGCAAAGCAGAGGTGCCCATCCCCCCCAAACCCAGTGGCGCAATCCCCCCCCCCAATTTTTGCTGCCCTCTATTTCAACCTACCCTTCCCCCTCCAATTTACCTGGAAATTTCCCCTTTACCACATAAAACGAGCATTTCAAGTATTTAGTAAACTTGAGGTAACGAAAAACAAACTTGCTGATAATCAAAATTAAATGTTTTATAGGAAAAGTTATTTAAAAATACAAAGTTATATCTAATTAATGGATGAATTATAAGTTTTTCATATTTAATTAGAATCTGTATTATCAGCCAACACGTGCTCAGTATTAAAATAGGCACCGTCTTCAATACGTTCAACAATATACTCGGTGAATTACTCTACTCCAACACAATACTGTGTAACTGTACAATATATTTAGGTAGTGTAAATTTTTATAGGGCTTAAGGATTCAAATAACTTTAAGTGGACAAATAATACTTTGGCATAAAGAATCTTGTTTAAAAATTAGGTCACGAAATAGGGCAGACTAGGAGGCGTTACTCGCCACTCCCAGACTGCCTTCTACAATAATCGCCGGGCAAAATATCCACAATACCTTAATTGCCACCACAAAAGGTTTTGTGACAAAGTACGGTAATCTTATAATTCATTTTGATAGCCCCAGGTTTGCGTTTTATGACTAATAGTGTTTTGTCGGTTCTTTAACTCCACCATCGTCAGGCTTACAAAAGGATCCACTTTTGGAGGTGTCATCAGAATATGTTACAAACATTAAACAAAAAACACGAAAACGATAACAGATAGGCCTATTAATTGACGTGTGTATATTGCCGCGGACAGAACTGGAAGTAAACTGAATCAGGTCATGGCGGACCGACGTGGTCTCTTGATTGTCGTCTGTGTTATCTACAGCTTATATTGGACTAATTGTAGTGTAGTGACGGAGGAGAGTGTTGAAAATATAATGGGATTCATAATCAAATTTTTCATTCAAAATTATTGACAATAATAACCAATTATATATGCTGGATATAAATGATGGTCTCAAAATTCTTAATTACTGCGGGAAAGGAAATTTATTAATTACTTTGGAAGAATTTGAAATATTTAAATACATAATACTAGGGACAGCACACAAATTTTGAATGAAATCACTCGATTAATTATGAATCCAATTATATTTTCATCACTCTTCTCAGTCCAATATCAGCTGTTGAAAACGCAGATGACAATCCAGAGACCATGTCGGTCCATCATAACCTTAACCTGATTCAGTTTACTTCCAGTCTTGCCGAGAACAATTTACACGCGTGATGTAATCGTTTCGCGTTAAATGTTTGTAATGTACTCTGACGACACCTCCAGAAGTGGATATTTTTGTAAGCCTGACAATCAGTGGAGTTAAAGAAACGCTAAAACATATTATGTAGCAAGTAAAATTTGACCCTACCATACAATCATGTTGATTGTCTAACAAGGTGCGTTTTTACCATTCTTAAAAGCAAACTTAATTACGAATGGAAAAATGTTGTTGATGTTGATAGTGAACTACCGTACTTAGAAAAACTTTTTCGGGCTGCTAATACAAAATTATACATTCATTGTGACAATAATGAATTTTTGCCCCCTAGCAAAAAAATATCCCCCCAAAAAAGCCAACCTTAACCTGATTCAGTTTACTTCCAGTCTTGCCGAGAACAATTTACACGCGTGATGTAATCGTTTCGCGTTAAATGTTTGTAATGTACTCTGACGACACCTCCAGAAGTGGATATTTTTGTAAGCCTGACAATCAGTGGAGTTAAAGAAACGCTAAAACATATTATGTAGCAAGTAAAATTTGACCCTACCATACAATCATGTTGATTGTCTAACAAGGTGCGTTTTTACCATTCTTAAAAGCAAACTTAATTACGAATGGAAAAATGTTGTTGATGTTGATAGTGAACTACCGTACTTAGAAAAACTTTTTCGGGCTGCTAATACAAAATTATACATTCATTGTGACAATAATGAATTTTTGCCCCCTAGCAAAAAAATATCCCCCCAAAAAAGCCCCCCCCCCAAAAAATTCCCCCCTCTGGGCACCACTGCAGCAAAGCAAGGGGTGAGCTGGTACAGTACGAAGGTGAACTGTACTGATGAAATGTTTGCGACAGTGACCAGGATCCGAACCCACGACAACGCTTGGGCCCGAAGTCTGTGTCTCTACCGACTGAACCACTTTAATTCTAAACTGCATTTTAAAGTATTTTTATTACCTAAACATGTGTTAAAGCCTAACTATACATTCAAAGTGATTTTTAGCCATTTCCCAGGCAGTTCAGGTTCGGTCCCATGCGTTTACGATTTCGGTTATTTACAATCACTCATTATGGTGGATAAACTACTGCATTGCACTGTACACTTAGTTTTTTCCTAATTGAACCCGCGAATGTGTACAATAACTTTACAGTACGTTATGTGTTTAGTATCATGATTGTTAATTGTTTTATTTATGTTCTTAGTGTAAGTAATATTGTAAGTAAATAGTTAACCAATTCATATCACATGTGTTGTTAAATTCTAACGTACTTCCTGCTATTCATGTCACTTGTCGGCGTTAAACACAGTCATAAACATCGTCCTTCTGCGAAAGGACGGACCCTTCCTCACCAGTTCTTAGAAATCTGTAACCACATACTGAGTGAGGGAGGAGTCTTTTGTCAGTGTATCATCGAGCAACATTGTTCGTTTAGCATAGCTTGGGATAGGATGTGTGAGGCAGTCCCCTCCACGTATTTCACATTTAGTTACAACCGCATTAGTTCATTATAGCAATTTATTCATCACAGTTCATTTATACAGTCCACTAATATCATTTGTTCATTTCCATATCAATAAATTCATAGTTCGTTTTTAAAGTGTCAGTTCTTTTATTATTTACCAAAACATTGGCGCATCACGCGCCGCAACATGGTCCATCGAGCCGCGATTATTTATCAGTGATCGCGTGGAACAATCGTACCGTACGCATTATAGTTTCGTCGTCCGAACGTGACGAACCGTCTCCATCGCGACTTCCGTGAACAGTTCGTCTTCAAGTGACTCAGTGACCAGTGACTAGTGACATAGTGTCCGATTGGATTAACACAGCTGCAGCACCGTAAGTCATTATCAACCTCATCACGTTCAGCTTCAAACAGCATTCATCCTTTTACAAGCTTCTTTGCACAAAAAGAATATGACAGAACAGCAGTTAAAAACATTAGGCCAAAAGCGAGGACAGACCAAAGCCAAGCTTACTAGATTTAAAAAGTATTTAGATGCAATAGTAGATAATGACGTGACCCAATTAAAAAGTAGACTAGCCCTATTTCAACCACTTGTACAAGAATTTGAACAGATACAAGGAGACATAGAACTTCTTGATACTGAATCAGATCACGAAGCTGAAAGGGAATCGTTTGAAAACATTTATTTTGAATTGATTGCCCAAGCAGAAGCTCTCCTCACTGACATCCAACCAATTTCAACCCCATCTAGCTCGGAAGTTTCTAATAACTCTTCAATTAGTGTCAAATTGCCTACTATAAAACTCCCTACATTTGGTGGAAAATACGAGGAGTGGACATCGTTCCAAGAAATATTCCATTCTCTCGTCCATGACAACACGTCACTAACAGACACACAAAAGTTTCATTACCTCAAAACATCACTCCACGGTCCAGCTATCAGTGTCATAGAATCCTTAGAAGTTACATCAGTAAACTACACTACTGCTTGGTCCCTACTTAAGGAAAGATTTGAAAACAAAAGAATCCTCATCAACAATCACATAGCTTCTCTACACAACATCAGCAAAATTGAAAGGGAATCTGGATTAGAGTTAAGATCATTAATAGATTCTGTAAACAAGCATTTACGTGCTCTAGAAAACCTAGGTCAACCAGTGCAAAGTTGGGATACTTTGTTGATATTCACATTGACCAAGAAGCTTGATCACCCTACACTTAGACTTTGGGAGAGCCACATTGTATCGTCAGATGTACCAACATTCACAAATTTCATCACATTCCTAAAATCTAGATGTCAAACATTAGAAGCAATCGACTTGAATCATAGCGATCAATCAACTAGTCCTAGCAACAGAAGTCTACATCACAATAGACATAACATCATAAGCAATAGTCATAGTAAGCAATCAAGTGGCAGTCCACATAGTAATAGCAACCAAACGCTACCTCACTTCAGACATCACACTACTCTAGTTACCAGCAGCAGTAGTGTAACATGTCCATATTGCAATGGCAATCACAAGATATTCCAATGTGATCAGTTCAAGTCACTTAAGCCCACAGACCGGTATTCCAGTATCAAGGAGCTAGGTATGTGCATAAACTGCTTCTCAAAATCACACAAAATTAAAGACTGTCAAGCTGGAGCCTGCAAAGTGTGTAACGATAAACACAACACAATGTTACATTTTGACTTGGACACTGATAATCCTCACATCATCGACCAATCTACAGAAGAACAACCAAACAACCATAGTACATCTTTCATGACAACAACACTTGCATCACAATGTAACAACCTTCAAGTAGTACTGCCCACAGCAGTGGTCGACGTAGAAGATAATCAAGGCAACAAGCACCAATGCAGAGTACTGTTAGATTCAGCGTCACAATCTAACTTTATAACAGAAAACATGGCAGATAAGTTAAGATTGCAGAAACACAATAAGTCTACCATAGTAAGTGGGATCAGTGAACAACAGGCAAACACTTCTAGCTCTGTCGTCTGC